TGTTGCTGTGGCCCAGTCTGGTGTTCTGGAAAATCTATATATATATATAAAAATGTAATGTTCGTTTGTGGGATTAACAGAACTCAAAAACCACTGGGGGAGTTGACACCAAATTTGGACACAATACACCTAACCACCCAATGTATGTCCTTCAGTCATGATGAATCTGGACCAAACTTGGCACGAATACTCCACATGCCCAAATATGAAGAGGGCAGCTAAAATTATCAAGGGAAAACAAGTCCTTGATAAACAACCCAAACACCGATGTTTTGGAGTTCAAGTCCAAAACACCTGGAGGGCCGAAGTTTGCCCATGCCTGATCTAGATGAACAGCTAGTCAATACGCCACTCCATTAAACTACAGCCCCAAGCTAATTTCGCCAGCATTTAGGGTGGTGAGGAATGCTGGGAGATGCGGTACAGGAACACTCAGAGTGCCATACAATGCCTACCTGAAGACACTATTTCAGAATCAGTAGCCATTGTTCAATTTGAACGGGAAGAAAGAGATGACAGTTTACATCTCCCCAAAGCAGGTTTGTCAGAAAAGTCGGTTAAGTCCATAATGAAGGAGACGTGGTTTTAAAAAGGGAATTTTCAGATATTTCCCCAATACCCATATGTCATGATTTACTGCCATATTGGCCTATTTCTGCAGTAGGCCTATGTTCACAGAAAATGCTGATTGTTTGAGAAATCAGTGCTCCAAAGAAGAAGTTACTATTCAAGGATAACAACATATCCGGACAAAACCAGCTAGCTGTTGGCTAGTTAGAACCTCCAAGTTTCCCAGTCGCTCTGAAGCCATTATTATTATTATTATTATTATTATTATTATTATTAAACTTTATTTGTACCCCGCTAGCATCTCCCGAAGGACTCGATGCGGCTTACAAAGGCCAAGGCCTCAACACACAATATAACAATACAAAACCTTAGGCAAATTAAAAACAATTAAAGCAATATAAACAACAGGCAATAAACAATACACTAAGACACAATAAAATAAAACTGGGCCGGGCCAGAGTAATGGATACAGGATTAAAAGTGCTGATGTGACAGGTGGTATATAAGGCATTATAGGGCAAGTGCAGTGTGCAGCCTTGGTTCTAATAAAGTGCTTATGGGACTTGTTGTTGGAGGATTCCTATTCTGGGAAGGCACATCGGAACAGCCAGGTCTTCAAGTTCTTTCTGAAGACTGCCAATGTAGGGGCCTGTCTAAGATCTTTGGGGAGGGTGTTCCAGAGTCGGGGGGCCACCACAGAAAAGGCCCTGTCTCGTGTCCCCACCAAACGCGCTTGCGACGCAGGCGGGATCACGAGCAGGGCCTCTCCAGATGACCGAAGTGAACGCGTGGGTTCATAGATGGAGATGCGGTCACGCAGGTAGGGTGGTCCCAAACCGTTCAGGGCTTTGTAGGTAAGCACCTGCACCTTAAATTGGGTTCGGAAAACAAACGGCAGCCAGTGGAGCTCCTTGAACAGGAGGGTTGACCTCTCTCTGTAAGGGGCCCCAGTTAACATCCTGGCCGCTGCCCGTTGGACCAGTTGGAACTTCCGAGCCATTTTCAAGGGCAGCCCCACGTAGAGCGCATTGCAGTAGTCCAATCTGGAGGTGACCAAGGCATGGACCACCCCGGCCAGATCAGCCTTCGCGAGGTACGGTCGCAGTTGGCGCACGAGTCTCAATTGTGCAAAAGCCCTCCCAGACACCGCCGACGCCTGAGCCTCAAGCGTAAGCGATGAGTCCAAGAGGACTCCCAAACTGCGGACCTGTGACTTCAGGGGGAGTGTAACCCCGTCCAACACAGGTTGCCACCCTATACCCCGGTCAGGTTTACGATCGACCAGGAGGACCTCTGTCTTGTCGGGATTGATCTTCAGCTTGTTCCTCCTCATCCAGATAGACACTCGTCCAGCACCCGAGAGGCCTCCTTGGAATTGGGTGTTTGCAACAGACTAACAGATAAGATACAGTCATGGTCAGAGAACAATGGACTATAGTTATGCTATAGTTGTGCCATTGTTAGGATCCCACGTGTGCTATGATGTCAATCAAAATCATAAACAACTAATGAACAACTGCATAGCTAGCTTAGACCAATGAAATGATTTGTCTTTGGGAACCAATGAAAATGTATATTCCATTTACTATAAATGCTCTGCAGCCCCATTGGGGGTTGCGACAAACCCTTTGATTGCATCCCTGTATGCTTGTTTGTCGTTATTGCTATGGCCACGCAATAATAGTTTTTTGCAGTTTAAAGGATTCAACTTTCGTGGTGTCCATCCTTGCCCTCCCTATTGGAAAGGGGACTTCTGCCTTTTGGGAAATATTTTGGTTTCGTTGCCCCTACAATAATGTGCTCCATGTCTTCCTGATCAAAATTTGACCCCAAAGATAGGCTTTTGCACAAGAGGCATTGGCACTGAGTAAAAACAGAAAGCCTCTCTTGGGAACCTGGTAAAAAGTCAGAAAGAAGGCAATCGGTGGTAAAAGTGATCTAGACATGAGGCCAGTCCTGGGATGGGGCATACCAATTGAGAAATAGAGGCTAGTGAGCACTGAAGTGCTCTCGGAGCTAGGCTGCTTTTCAGTTTATTCTTTGAGAGAAGCAAAATCTTCCAGATAAGAGGCATATAAGTCTTTCCATCCAGTCTCTATGTCATGAACTGCCTTTGTGGAACCTGCCTATCCAGCATACATTGGGAAAGCTCTGCCAAATGCCTTTACAGAACTGAATCTATAGGCAACACTGATGTCTGAAATATCCACCACCATATTATTGGCACCAGAGAACTAAAAAGTCACTCATTTTAATGGCCCAGAATCCTCAGATGTATGAAGGTCACAAAGAATTCCTCTCCCCATTGAGATCATGGAGCGTTTGTGTATGAATTGAAAAATGCTTGAAGTTGCCACTTGGTTAAGAAAAGAATGTTACGCTTACTGATAGCACCCTCTCCTGTTAGCTGTAAACTGACACCACCTATTTCTATGAGCATCCAGGACTGTGGTGCAGCTGAGTGTCAGCTGTATTAAGATCACTTCCGACCACAAGGTCATGAGTTCGAAGCCAGCCCGGGTCGGAGTGAGCTTCTGACCAATTGTGTAGCTTGTTGTCGACCTTTGCAACCTGAAAGATTTATTATTATTTATTTCGAACATTTTCACCCTGCCCTTCTCAACCCCTAGGGGGACTCAGGGCAGCTTACAATTGGCAACAATTCAATGCTGCTTCATAAAATACAATAAAATAGCAAAGATAACGATTAAAACCATGAACATTAAAATAAAAATTAAATAGTATACTTACGATCCATTTATCTATTGCCAGTCTGGTGGCTATTTATCTAGCCATATACTAATGATTACTCCGCTTCACTTATCCAAATCCACTTCCAAGCCATAGTCAAATGTTATCCATTGTCCTTTAACCTGACTGCCCGAAGGCTGGTCCCACAACCACAATTTTACCTTCTTCTGAAGGTGAGGAGGGATGATGATTATCTAATTTCTCTGGGAAGCGTATTCCACAGGTGGGGGGCTACCACCGAGAAGGCCCTGTCCCTCATCCCCACCAAATGTGTTTGAGACAACAGCGAGGACGAGAGCAGGGCCTCCCCAGAGGATCTTAAGCTCCGAGGTGGGACATAGAAGGAGATACGTTCGGAAAGGTATGCTGGACTGGAGCCGTATAGGGTTTTATAGGTCAAAACCAGTATTTTGAATTGTGCTCAGAATTGGATCGGCAGCCAGTGGAGCTGACACAACAAGGGGGTGTTATGCTCCCTGTATGACGCTCCAGTGAGTAATCTAGCTGCCGCCCGTTGGACTAATTGCAGTTTCTGAACAGTCTTCAAAGGCAACCCCACGTAGAGCACGTTGCAGTAATCTATTCGGGATGTAACAAGAACGTGGACCACCATGGCCAGAACCAACTTCCCAAGGTACGGGCACAGCTGGCGCACAAGTTTTAACTGTGCAAAAGCTCTCCCAGCCACCGCCGAGACCTGGGGTTCCAGGCTCAGCGATGAGTCCAGGATCACTCCCAAGCTGCGAACCTGCATCTTCAGGGGGAGTGTAATCCCATCCAACACAGGCTGTAACCCTATGCCCTGTTCGGCCTTACAACTGACCAGTAGGACCTCTGTCTTGTCTGGATTCAATTTCAATTTGTTAGCTCTCATCCAGTCTGACACAGCAGCCAAGCACCGGTTCAAGGTTTGGAAAGCCTCTTTAGTAACAGGTGGAAAGGAGTGACAGATTTGGACATCATCTGCATAGAGATAACACCTCATTCTGAAACTCCGGATGATCTCTCCCAGTGGCTTCATGTATATGTTAAACAACATAAGGGACAGTATAGAACCCTGTGGGACTCCACACAACAATGGTTGTGGGGTCAAACAGGTGTCACCCAGTAACACCTTCTGGGACCGTCCCTCAAGGAAGGACTGGAGCCATTGCAGAACAGTACCCCCAAGTCCCATATCCTTGAGGCGTTGCATCTGTCAAGTAGGAAAATTAGGTACCATCTATGTGTGGGGAGGCTAATTTAACAAAATTTATGAGGCCATAAAAAAGACTCCAGCAAAGTACTCCAGCAAAAGCATGCGGGGAATGCGGAAGTACTTCATCAGCGTCGCAGATGGACGATGAAAGCGACAGCTCCCCTGGCAGCCAGAAAAAGTTAAATAGCCTCTGACTGTTTGTCTATTTCTGTTGTGTATCTTTGGCATTGAATGTTTGCCATATATGTGTACATTGTAATCCGCCCTGAGTCCCCTGCGGGGTGAGAAGGGCGGAATATAAATACTGTAAATAATAAATAATATATTGAGCATTAGGCTGCCACTGCTCATGTACAACTAGAATGACTCCACTTGAATTCTGCCTGACCGTTTCCAGCAAAAGTAAATAGAATTAACTTAATACAGCACTAAAGGAATTCCCCTCCAACATGACACTGTCTGCACAGCCCAAATACTCTGCTTTTCCTTGAAACATAAAATTGACTTTATTAATTTCTCTCCAAAAAAGTTAAAAATACAGAAGGTTCATGGAACTTTTGTCTCTTGGCAGGTGATCAGAACTGCAACATGAGAAGACAATCCTTCACTGAAATGTTGTAATTTTATTATTATTATTATTATTATTATTATTATTATTATTATTATTTATCACAATCATCATCATTTAGGACCAAGGCTGAGGAGCAGCAACTCCACTATGGGAAAGGAGGTCATCTCCTTCCAGAATTATGTTTCCAGGTTCCACAAGTCCAGAAAGACCTCCACAAAGAGGGGGCTCCTGCTTTACTGCACAATGCAGTGGCCGTTGGCGTCCCGGAAGCGTAACCGCATCTTCGGCCGGTATTTCTCCAGGTAAAGCAGCTGTTTGGAGTTGAACGCTCCCCTCCTTTTCCTGAAAGAGAAGCACACGCATGAATGAAGTTACTACCCACATGAAGCACACATCTCAAACAAACTAGCTATGATCTGGCTTCCCAGGACCAGAAGGACACACACACAAGAGAGGATGAATGGACTATCTTTGGACTTTAATTGGCAGAGAAACTCGAACTGGTAAATCAACTCAGCGTTTTCACTATAAAGAACTCACTTCTTGCATAACAGGCAGTCCCCAAGTTACAAACATCTGACTTACAAACAACCCATAGTTAAGAAAGGGGATGAGACAACAGGAAGCGAGAGAACTCTAACCTTTCAAAAAGGAAAGTCATCCTGGAAGAGTTGTTACCATGTCTAGATCCAGGAAAGTCATGCTACCCCTCTATTCTCCCTTGATCAGACCATACCAGGAATCACGCTGTATCCAATTCTGGACACCACAATTGAAGGGAGATGTTGACAAGCTGGAAAGTGTCCAAAGGAGGTTGACTAAAATGATCAAGGGTCTGGAGAACAAGCCCTATGAGGAGCAACTTAAAGAGATAGGCATGTTTAGCCTTCAGAAGAGAAGGCTGAGAGGGATATAGAATCATAGAATCAAAGAGTTGGAAGAGACCTCATGGGCCATCCAGTCCAACCCCCTGCCAAGAAGCAGGAATATTGCATTCAAATCACCCCTGACAGATGGCCATCCAGCCTCTGTTTAAAAGCTTCCAAAGAAGGAGCCTCCCCCACGCTCCGGGGCAGAGAGTTCCACTGCTGAACGGCTCTCACAGTCAGGAAGTTCTTCCTCATGTTCAGATGGAATCTCCTCTCTTGTAGTTTGAAGCCATTGTTCCGTCCTAGTCTCCAGGGAAGCAGAAAACAAGCTTGCTCCCTCCTCCCTGTGGCTTCCTCTCACATATTTATACATGGCTATCATATCCCCTCTCAGCCTTCTCTTCTTCAGGCTAAACATGCCCAGTTTAAGCCGCTCCTCATAGGGCTTGTTCTCCAGACCCTTGATCATTTTAGTCGCCCTCCTCTGGACACATTCCAGCTTGTCAATATCTCTCTTGAATTGTGGTGCCCAGAATGGGACACAATATTCCAGGTGTGGTCTAACCAAAGCGGAATAGAGGGGTAGCATTACTTCCCTAGATTTAGACACTCTGCTCCTATTGATGCAGGCCAAAATCCCATTGGCTTTTTTTGCTGCCACATGACATTGTTGGCTCATGTTTAACTTGTTGTCCACAAGGACTCCAGGATCTTTTCACACATACTGCTCTCGAGCCAGGAATTGTCCCCCATTCTGTATCTTTGCATTTCGTTTTTTTTGCCTAAGTGGAGTATCTTGCATTTGTCCCTGTTGAACTTCATTTTGTTAGTTTTGGCCCATCTCTCTAATCTGTCAAGATCGTTTTGAATCCTGCTCCTGTCCTCTGGAGTATTGGCTATCCCTCCCAATTTGGTGTCGTCTGCAAACTTGATGATCATGCCTTCTAGCCCTTCATCTAAGTCATTAATAAAAATGTTGAACAGGACCGGGCCCAGGACGGAACCCTGCGGCACTCCGCTCGTCACTTCTTTCCAAGATGAAGAGGAAGCATTGGTGAGCACCCTCTGGGTTCGTCCATTTAACCAATTACAGATCCACCTCACCTAGTTTTGTCTAGCCCACATTGGACTAGTTTGTTTGCCAGAAGGTCATGGGGGACCTTGTCGAAGGCCTTACTGAAATCCAGGAATGATGAGGGCCATGTATAAATATGTGAGGGGAAGTCATAGGGAGGAAGGAACAAGCTTGTTTTCTGCTGCCCTGGAGACTAGGACACAATGGAACAATATTTTCAAGCTACAGGAAAGGAGATTCCACCTAAACATTAGGAATAACTTCCTGACTGTGAGAGATGTTCAGCAGCGGAACTCTCTGCCCCAGAGTGTGGTTGTAACTCCTTCTTTGGAGGCTTTTAAGCAGAGGCTGGATGGCCATCTGTCGGGGGTGCTTTGAATGCAATTTTCCTGCTTCTTGGCAGGGGGTTGGACTGGCAGGCCCAAAAGATCTTTTCCAACTCAAGGATTCTATGATTCTATGGGGGAAAGTGGTCTCCACTGAAGCTTTATCAGCAATCCTTTTTCTACAACAAGCCACATTTTCCAAAATCTAATGAACACAGGGACTAAAGTAAACTTGGTAATTTGGAACATAGGAACGGAACAATGGACGACGAATTTGAATCACGCTTGGATGATGAGGCGATCAGGGATGGGATTTGTGATAACTGTGTATTGATTGCGTATTAGCTATTAATGGAAATGTGTAATTTAACTGTCATTGTATATTAATTATTGCTGTTTTTATTGTCTTTGCTGTTTGGAAACCGCTGTGAGTCGCCCTCGGGCTTGAGATACAGCGGTATACAAGAATAGTAAATAAATAAATAAATAAATAAATAAGATAAAATCTTCTGAACAGGGACATAGACGGCAAAATAAACTCCACAGGGGTGCTAACCCTTCCCTTTGCTATCCTAAGCTAAAAGATATATATTTTTGGCTGGATTTACACTTTAAAATGTACCTGTTCTGACTTACATACAGATTCAACTTAAGAGCAAACCTACACAACCATTCTTGTGAATAAGTTGGGGGCTTAGAGAAGTACTTCTGTCCCAAATCAAAATGTTCTGGAACTTCTTGTGTTAGTGTCTGCCTTGGGAAACTGGACCAAACAGGGAGAGACATGGCCACAAACAGGCTCACAACTTATGAGCGCACTTGCCATCCTGTTCAAAAGCCGCAGCCCTTATGCCAAGCCTTGGGAAACCTTACAAAGCTTATGAGCGGCTTCTTACAGCTCTGGGCTTACATGACAAATGGGCATCCGGGCATTTGGGACTCTAAGTCACACACAGGTCAAAACTGCTTATTATCCCTTTGCTCTGAGGATCAAACTCTTGCCACCTTGGCTAATCCTTGCAGTTGCTGGGAGCCATTGTAGTGAAGACTCACTGGCAACTACACTAGAGATGAGTCATGGCTTCCTCTCCTGTCATCATGATCATTTTTGTGTTTCCTTATCGTGTGATAGAGTGGCTTTACTCTACCTAGAGAGGCTTATTTGAGAACCCAGTCTGTGTAGAAGCATTCTCCCTTAACATGAGAAGGGAGGTGAGGAATGCACCATGGCCTCATGATAGAAAATGTTAAAGCATCTTTCTCTTTAATAATGAGTGCCTGCTAAACTGCAAGTCTCTCTCACACTTCCTTCGGATCTCAAAGATGCACCTCCCCTGAAGTGTACATAATATGCAAATTTAATTAGGCAAGTAGTCAGAAAAAGAACAGATGATTAGCCAAAGCATTTAATGTATTGGCAGCCTCAGTTACGGCAAAAGCCTTGGTTCTTTAAGTAAGGCAGTGAGCTGAAACTCTGGACCATGCCAGAAGCTCTCCTGTGTCTATTGTGCGGAGAAATCTTCCTGAAGTACAACCCTCCAAAAGCTGTTGAAATGCAACTCTTCAAATTCTTTACTGGAAGTTGCACTTCAACAATCCCTGGAAAGCCACCCAAATTTCCTCTCCAGTATGAAAGCTTAGGGTGGCAACTTCTAAGGCCAAGATGCCGAAGCTAGTGAGGGATAGATTAACTTCACAGCAGGGCTGTCTTTGCCTATATGGCTAATTATATTTTCACTCCAGAGGCACAGGAATCAAAAATGGTCTCCATTTTATCCACAATCCACTTTCCTGAGCCACAAGGAGATTGCAACTCATGCCAGGAAACAGTGTTCCTAACTGCGTGAAGCTTTCCTCTTGCCAGAGAGTGCATCATAATGAACTCAGGGCTGCATGCTGCATTAGGTTGCATTAAGACCTCACACAAAGCCTGGCTTCCATGGGAACTGGGGCTTATCGGGGATGAGCATCTTTGCTAGTGCAGCAGCTTTCCGTGAAATCGGGCTTAACAAGCCCAAGGCTTTCAAGGCCAGAGTTCCTTTATCACCATGCCCACAGGTGGAAAGAGCTGGCACCTCTCTCTTTCCCTCCCCCTCACAACAAGCAAGTATATTGCAGGGTGACGTTTGTAGTTTGTCAAAGCAGAAAAGGAAACAAGACTGCCAGCTTCTAGTGAAGGCAGGTGCCAAAATGAATGGATCAGAGACAGGTCTGCAGGTTGTTTAGCCACTCCTGACAGAAAGGAAAGCCATTCTTTAAAGGACTTACAAAGGCATCCCACTGTGCTCAAGTATACCATGGCCACATACAGACCTGACAGGAAAGTGTGGTTCTTCAAGAACACGACTACATTTTGGGTTCTTACTCTCTATTCCTATATACAGATAATAATGATAATATTATACTGTAATACAATATAATACTAATAATAATACAATATAATAATTGTATATTATATATTACATGTAATATTACTAATAATATTACAGTATAATGGTATAGTACAATATAGTAATAAATACTTATATTGTGCTATGCTAATAATTATAATATATTGTATGCACATATAATATTGATCATAATATTGTAATACAATATAATAATTATATATTTTATATTACATGTAATATTACTAATAATATTGCAGTATAGTGGTACAGTACAGTATAGTAATATATAATACTAATATTGTGCTATGCTAATAACACAATACATTGTATGTACCTATAACTTGTAAGCCGCTTTGAGTCCCCTTCGAGGTGAGATGGGCGGGATATAAATATCGTAAATACATAAATAATAAAAAAAATATCTTTGGGAATGGGGTGAGAAGGCTAAACATTCCCCAGACTTAAATAAAGCAGAACCATGGTCTGATATTAACTAAGATTTTGGCAAACCAGCTTTCCATATTTGGGCAGGAATGGAAACAAATTTATCCCAAAGTGCAACCTCTGGGATTCATGTTTCCTGTCCTGGCAGACCAAATGGAAAGTGCACATATATTGGCATCATATTTGATGAGATTGCTAGGAGAAAAGGGAGGAAAAAGGAGACCATGGTCTTAATTCTCTTTTTTGACTGGGATGCCAGGGTTGTAAGAGATGGGACACAGTACAACACTGTGAGAGAGGAGCACTATGCTTTCCTTGCTTGATGTATGACCTCAGCCCACATCATGCTGTTCTGTGCACATTCAGTAGGAACAGAAGTATTTCAACATGAATACAAAGTAAATACTGTGCAAGCGAGTGTGTCTCTGGATAAATCCATCAGGCTATACAGCAGTTCTGAGAAAAACAGTATCTGTTCTCCTTATGAAAGGCAGAAGGATGCTAGATCCATCAGGAGAAGGCCGCTGCATGGCAAGCTACTCTGGATTTCTTTGGAAAGGCTGCCTCCTACCAACACAGTCAGGAATAGCAAAGTAATGTTTCTGATAAGCAAAGGAAAGTGACAGTGCCAACCAGAGTAAGTTATAAATATTTTATGTGCTGAAAAAACTGGTCAGTCTTACAAGGCTGTTCTGGATCTGTCTTTTGCCTGAACTTGCTTGCTCTTACAAGTATTATAATTATACCAGTCAGAAGACTGGCTTTTTAAAGAAGTATAATCACCAGCTAGAAAAAGGAGCAGTCCAGCCCTCGAGCCTAAATACTTGCATCTATCACAAGTTTAGGAATGCTATGAGGAAGCTACAAAGCTGAAACAATCTTGTGATAAGCAAACAATTGCTCAATGCAAAGAACGACCCAAAATGAAAGGGGAAGGAAGCATCCAATGGCCCTTTGACTTACTGTCTTATAAACTGCACAGCATCCTCATACTTCATTCCACATTCAATGAGTGCGAGGGCAACCAGAACTGGGGCTCTGGGGAGAGAAGGTCAAGACAGGGTTAAAGCAGGTCCAAGATACACCTCAAGAATAAATCTTCTTTTGTCTTCTAAATATAAAACAGTACTAAAGTAAAGGCTTTGCAAGCGCACAAGATAGAATAGCAACCCAGAAAGTTTGCTGGGAAAGTCTACCGCCAAACAATGGGGCAGGATGGACCCATCCATCTGCAGCTTTGTAAAGAGGGTTTTAAAGTCTTCCCACAATTCGTCAGGGGCACCTTTTCAGTCAAACAGTTTTTGATTAATTGGATTATCAGCTCAACATTACAGCTCTGGCTATGAGCAGAATGAAGGGGACGAGGGCCAAAGTTGTTGGCCTCCCATCTCAGCCAGTCTGTTCCCTTACAATAAAGAACATGCTCAGGAGAGCAAGGGAAGAGAGCAAGACAGGAGGACCAGCGATCAGGACAGAAGCTGGGATCACCAGGATGCCACATCTTCAAAAGCAGCAGCACACACCAGGCTCATGGCACTAAGGCATATTAGAACCCCCACTTCATAGACATACATCTTTTTCCAAGGCAAGTCAATGTTTGAATGTGCACAGATGGCATTCTTGTGCTTCAAGTCTAAAAGAAAGTTCACCTGAGGTAACCCCCCTGCCCCCCCCCCCAAAAAAGCTGAAACCATTTCCCCAAATCAGGAGTAGGAAAAATGTGCTTCACAGGCCACATAAGTTCCCTTCAGGGCATTTTTGTGACCCTTGAGACAACCTATGAATATGGAAGTGTTTTGGCCTGATTTGCCCCCTCCTGGGCCATTTTAGGACAGGAGAGGCTTTTAAAACCAGAATTAACTTTCAGTTGTGTCCTATTTTGAGAAAAGGAAAACCTGTGGCCCTGCAGATGTTTTGGACATCAGCTTCCAGGATTCCTGACCACTGTAACAAGCTGGCTAGGGCTTCTGGGAGATGGAGGCCCAAAAGTTGTACAGGCTTGTCCTAGAGGACACTGGGGACATTTAGAAGGCAAAAATGGGGGTTGTGTTGGTGAGAACCTTTCCCTAAGTTCTCCATGGGACAGAAAGCCCCCCTTAGCCTCCCTGCCCTAAACGAAGTGTGTAGGAAGCCTACCTTCCCAGGCCGGCCACACAGTGTACAGCAACGCAGCAGCCGGGTTCTTCACGGAATTTGGTTTTCAACAGATTGAGCCAGTCGTCCACGATTTCACTTGGTGGCGGGGCTCCATCGTCAAATGGCCAGTCCTTTGGAGGAAGGGGAGAGAACGTGTTACTTACACTCAGTGCTCCACCTGGAAAGGGAGCATCGTGCTTCTTCTCAGAAAGACCTTCAGCTTCTCAATCAGACAGGGCTTAATCTGCCCTCACAATTTCCTTTTACCTTTCACTTTGGGCACTGCTTCCACTAAATAAAACTATGCAATAAAATTAGAAAAATATTCTGTTCCTGTTGAAAATGTTTTTTGCTATTTAATTGTGCAGTCCTTACTTTGAAAGCAGTTGTTCTATTCCAGACACTTCATATTTGTGGCTGCGACAAACTATGTTGAATTGGTTGAGACTCTATGACAGTGGTTCTCAACCTGTGGGTCCCCAGGTGTTTTGGCCTACCACTCCCAGAAATCCCAGCCAGTTTACCAGCTGTTAGGATTTCTGGGAGTTGAAGGCCAAAACACCTGAGGACCCACAGGTTGAGAACCACTGCTCTATGAGATAGCCATTGAAACACTATAGCAAAATGTGCTGCAAGATGTCCTGCAAAAACAACATTTTTGCAGTTTTATAAACTTTTTCCATGCTTTTATGTCAGAACAAATTAGGAAATGACATTTATAACCCAGGAAGAAAAACCATGTTACATAGTGTAATTCAGGGTGGCTACAAATCTGTATCAGAAGCCATGAGCAGGTGAATTAAACCAATTAGTCAAAAGCATGAAACGGCTAACTCGATTTCACAGAAACCACACCTTCCCATTTAATGACTGCATTAAGCAGGACGGGAAAGACATGAGCAGACGTCTTTAAAGCAGCATTACAACCTTGAATAATTAGTTCGGTTTTATTGCTTTAGTCATAGCAAATTAGTGTGCATTTTACGGGTGCGAAGCGAGCAGAGTCGGCATATTCAAAATCAGAGGGATGCAAAATGTACAGGGAACTGATGCTCCGCTCATCCAGGAGACTCTAAATGCAATTTAATTAATAATGTGGTCACCCACATTCAGACTCAGGAGCTTCTTGGAAAGAGGCAGCTGCTGATTCTATTATATCAATTTTCTTGGTTACAAGAAGGAATTAAATTTAAGATTGGACTGAGAAAGATGGCTTTCAAGAAGTACTTCTTTACCTTTGAGTGAGCCAATAGGCAACATGCATCTTCCAAGGGAATATTGAAAGGGTGGGGAGAGATGATGACCAGGCATAACATAAGTAACATAAAACTGATGATATAGACACTGAGAAAGCTAAAAAAATATTCTACACCTCATCTCAGACATAAATCAAAATTTGTCTGTAGTCAAGAAATCAGAAGCAGACTAAGACTTGAAAGGGCCACTATAAAGGAACTAGGTAATATCCTTCAGAATAAAGATATATTACCAAACATCAACTTCAGGACCATCTGTGCCACAGCAGTTTTGATTTTAATGTACAGCTGTGAAAGGAAGGCAGTTAAGGACATTGACAAGAAGAAAATGGGACTCATTCAAAATGTAGTACTGGAGGAAAATTCTATGGATGCTATGGACTGTCAAAAAGACAAATTGCTGGGCCCCGGAGCAAACCCAGCCTGCTCTCTCCCTAGAAGCCAACATGACACAAGAGAGGAGACTGCACTCTGGATGTGTAATGAGACGCATGGCACACTGAAAAAGGCCGTAATGCATTTTGGGACCATCCAAAGGACATTCCTGTCACCTACAATTGGAAAATCCTGCCTAGATGATACTCATGCTTCCTTAGATCTATCTGGAAGAGCCTGAACTGTGTCAGTCACACATTAGAACTAGATCATGAGAGCAAACCGTAAAATAGAGATTGATCAAGATCACAAGTGTGGAAGGAAGGAAATCTCTAGTTTGCTTTGAAGGAACAGGTTTAAAGAGGCATCCAGTGTGACTTAGAGAAAACAGGAGATGATGGACAGGCAAAAGACAATCCTTAGGAAAGAAAGGAAGTGGGACAGAAGGACAAAGCACATTGTCTACTTTGAACATTGAGGGAAACCAAAAGCTTTGACACATTTCTAATGGAAAAGATTCTTTTCAGTCTAACCAAAAACACACAGTGTTATCTTGGTGGAAACAGACAAGATCACAGTTCCTGGAAGAGATCCCCAGCAAGGAAATAAAATACCCAGCACTCAGACTGCAAAGCCTGGGGTTTTTCACAGGTTAACAGCTCCCTAAAGCTGTGGTTGCTATGGTTTATCTGACCAGATGCTGGTGCAAAGCGGTATTTCCAGCTCCCAGATGAAGAAAAGTACAGGAAAGCCACTAAAACTGAGCTTCCCTTTGCATCAGCGCATTTCAGTTTCACCAGATCCAGCACAGTGAAAAGCCTTTTTTCACAAATTGAATCAAATCACAGAAATTTCACAGCTTGTAAGACTGGCCTTTACAGTCAACACAAAAGGTTTGATGCTGAACTTATTTCTGTTGACAACAATGGGTACAGGTTTTTAGGTTTTTGAATTAAGCTGAATTACATACAGTGCCTGAGTTACAGACATCCAACTTACAAACAACTCAGAGTTAAGAACGGGGTTGTAACCCCAGGAAGTGGGAGAAATCTATCCCTCGGAAGGGAAATCCTGAAAGAGTTATGGGGAAAAGAGATCTCCACTGAAGTTTTATCTCCAATCCTTGTTTCCACAACAAGCCACATTTTTCAAAATCCAATGATCACAGGGACAGAAAGCGGGGTGGAATCTTCTGAACAGGGGCACAGACAGAAAAACAAACACCACAGGGGTGTTCACCCTTCTGTACGCAACCCAAAGTTAGTATTTATATACATTTGGTTGGAGTTAGGAATAAAAAAGATTCCTGTTCTGATTTACATACAAATTCAACTTAAGAACCTACATCCAGAACCTATCTTGTTCGTAATTTGGGGACGGCCTGTATTTGCATTCCTATGAAACTGGTGATCATTATTCCCATTTACTGTATTTCTCTTTTTCTAAGACACATTCCCCCCACCTACCTAAACATCCCTAAAAACCAAGTGCATCTGATTATTATTTTCGTTGGTGGGGTGCTTCTTACAATCAATGGCATCTTAGAATTGAAGAAATACATTATCTTACACAAGAGCCTGAACTAACAAGAGCCACCTGGGGCCACAAGATGCTCCCATTAACCAAAGGCTACATCTTCAAGTTTATTTGGGACCAACCCTGAGCCCATAACAGAGGGAAAGCATGTGTTTTCTCCTTACATTGAGCGATTTCTCTGCAGACACCCTATAGTGAACCCAAGCCTCTTCAGAAAAGTGCCCAGCCCTTGCGTTTGCTGCGGATTACCTTCAGTCACGCCTGCTGTTCAACAGGAGGCTATTTTTGAAAGACACATGAACCTGCAAACGCTTTGGCAGCTGGCAGGGCCTGGTGCCAAGGCCACCCTCCCACCCCCTCACCCTCTACTCCACTTAATCCCTTCACTGCATGCGCTTGTTTACCAACACCGCCAGAGCAAACAAGCTGGGCCGAATGCTGATGTCCTCATCAGCCATCTGCCAGAGGAGGAGTGAGCACTGTAGGCGATTCCCATACACGCCTACAAGTAGCATCTCGAAGGATCACATGTATAGCCTTATCCTCAAGGAGGGTGGACAAAATGGAACTCGTATATATCCCGCAGGATCATCCCGCGCCCTGTACCTCTAGCAACAAGTCGTAATAATGAAATATGCTGGGGAAAAACAGTGAAATTGTTATTTGCTCATCCTAGGGTACATCTACATTGCTGAATTAATGCAGTTTGGCACCACTTCAACTGCTGTGATGCAATACAATGGAATCCTGAGAGGTGTAGTTTGGGGGAGGCACCAGGACTTTTAAGGCAGAGAAGGTTAAAAACTTTGTAAAACTACAACTGTCATGATGCCATAGCATTAAACCATGTCACTTCAAGTGGCTTCAAACTGCATTCATTCTACAGTGTAGATGCATCCTTAGATGCTTACAGATGTAATCTGAAGGAAGGGGGAGATGCCTTCTCAAAGACGCAAAAATTGAAACTGGTGACTGGAAGAGTCTGCATTGGCTCCAATTACAATAAACACTTAGAGAGATAGAAAGAGTAATGGAATGTCCCCAAAAGTTATGGGGAGCAACTCGGCTGCATTTTGGACTCTTACGTCCATTTTAGACCCACAAGAAGCTTTTTTCTGCCATTCCAACAGGACACTCAATAGCAGAATAATAATATAATAATAATAATAATAATAATAATAATAATAATAATAATAATAAACTTTATTTATACCCCACCACCATTTCCCCCAACAGGAACTCAGGGCGGCTTACATGAGGCCAATACAATAAAATAAGATACAAATTGCAATAAAACAACATAGCATTAAAATATACAACATATAAGCATAGAAACAATATACACAAAACATAAAGAGAAGAAAAAAAACTGTACACCAAACATAATGACAGTGAGCAGGCCACATGTACATAAAATGATTTAAAAACTCAGGGTGAGATAAAGTAGAAGGATTATTTGTAAGGGTGAAATCATAGAGAGAGAGGGAAATAGGGAAATGACATGGTTTGAATCCAAACGTAGCGAAATGTAGGCCATGCCAGCTCAGCAGAGCAAAACTTGAAAAATGAGGCTGGACCCAGAATGATGACCGATGATGGGAAATCCAGAGAGTAGCAAAGATGGATCTGCACACAAATGTGATGCACCTTTTGCTGCCAAGGCAAAAAGAGGGTGAGTGCTAAGAGAAGATCACTGCCGTGGAAGAAAAACAGATGCCGGTCAACACAGTGCACATCTCTTCTATGAACGATCGCTTGCAAGTTCATTGTCCGGCTCAAAAAAGTATGAGAAGGGATCAGCCCCGAGGTCTAGTCTAGAGGCCATGGGCAACCAGAGGAACTGAAAGTAGACAGCCCAAGTTGCTGTGGATAGGCACATGTTGATGTCTTGTTGTGTTGGCTCAACAACTTCGTTGTTGAGCCAACACAACAAGGCATCAACATGCTATCTGGGGGCATGTGCC